CCTGATATAGGCCTTCTTTAATCCATCCTTATTGCATGAGAAATCTCATGGACATGAGACACAGGCCATTTTGAGCCTATTTATGTAATATAACCCTACCACATTTGTATCTATTGCTATTGCCATGGTTACTAGAGACATGGCCAGGAATAGTAATGAAATGCAGGTAGCAATGTATATTTTGTCTCTACCCACATATGCAGGAACTAGATACAAGATTAGAAATATGCTAACTTCATAACATAGGTTCTGTGCCTCCATCCAGTCAACATGACAGCTTGAGCCATGTATGCACCACACCGAGACCGTTATAGTATATCCAAAGTACACTGTGTGCAGTTAAACAAGATAGAGACAATATGGTATTAGGCCAACATATTTCTCAAAGACTTCAGAGTGTAGCATGGCATCACATCATCATTTACTCAGGGAATGTATTCTCATCAGATACCTTTCCAGTTTCTGAGGCACTAATGACATACAAGGACTAAGTCTCCAGAGACTGTTTTACTCAAGACCATGAAAGCCATCAGGGAGATGGAGAAGACTCCAGAGCTTATAGTGATGAATGATTATTTATTGATTATAAAGCACTCAACCAAAGTGATCTAAGGGTCAACTCCACCTCTGATGGTTTACTGATAGAACTAGAATCTAGCTGAGTCTTTGCAGTCTTATCTCAGACTTACTAAAGACTTGAAGCACACTGGAGAAAGGAAGAACAGGAAAAGAAACTGAGCTTCCATAGCAGGTTAGTCATCCCTGGGAGTTTGATACTAATTATATTCATGTAGACTCATTTTGTGAAGGGCTAGTTCCCAACTTGTGACAGTGTTAAGAGGTGAATGCATCATGGGAGTGACAACTTCACCATGGAATAAATCTAATAAAGGTTCTGTTTTTTAGTTGGTTATTGTGACCAAATAAATAGAGCTTGGGGGCATGGTACAAGCACTTGGGAGGCAGAGGTAGAAAAATCCAAACTTCAAGGTCATTTTTAACTATATAAAAACCTTGAGGCAAGTCTGGGTTTCATCAGATACTGATTGGGGAAGGGAAAAAAAATACAAGAAAGCAGGGTGGTGGTGGTGGTACACACATTTAATCGCAGCACTAGGGAGACAGAGACAGTCAGATCTCTGTGAGTCCAAGGACAACCTGGCTTACAAAGTGAGTTCTAGGACAGCCAGGATTATAACACAGAAAAACCATGTCTAGAAAAAGGAAACAAAACAAGATAAAATAAAAAAGATTGAACCTAGTTGGACATAGGTAATTAGGATCCTTTCCTCTATCTTCGGGAGCGATTTCTTTTTCCAAGCCTCTTCTTTCTCATTTTGACCACTATGTGGTAAGTGACTTTGACCTTCAATGCCCTTCTACATGTTTTGCCTCTCCCCAGGCCCTACACAATGGCACCAACCAAACATAGATTGATACCTCAGAAAACGTGAGTCACTATAAAACCTTCCTCCTTCAAATTATTTTGTCAAGTATTTTGACATATATATATATATATATATATATATATATATATTTATTTAAAAAATCAGTAAGGCACACTATCTGAAATATTCTATTCCATATTCTATTCCTTTCTTTGGACTATCTCTATGGACAAATTGTTCTTGAACTAAAATTTTAGTTGCAAAAAAGGATTTCAAGGAAGTTTACTTAGAACATTTCTATGCTTGTATGTAGACTTGCAGTTTGGTATGGCTCAAAATCGCCTAGTTGGGGACAGGTGAGGCAGCTCAGCACCTAAAATAAAACTTGCTACCAAGCCTGACAACCTGACTTTGATGCACAGGAGCTACATGGTTGTAGAGAACCAGTTTCCACAAGTTGTCTTCTTATCTCTACATGCGTATTGTGACACATGCAGATCTCTGTTAGTTCAAGGCCAGCCTGGTTTACAAAGTGAATTCTATGACAGCCAGGACCATAACAAAGACACACACATGTATGTAATAATTTTTAAAAGTATCTCACAGTCATTTAAAATAGATTGATTAATACTGCCAGTTTCCACATTTTTATTCATCATTCTCTTATTCTAATTACTATTGATTCAGAAACAAAAATTCAACATTGCCATTTGGAAGCTGGCAACTGGAGGAAAGATGGTTTACATCTCAAATGGACACATGTTGGATAGCCTGAATCAGTCCCTATGGAGATTGTCTTTTATAACAGATTTCTTCTGGGGAATAGCAGAATTTGTGGTTTTTTGTTGTTGTTGTTGTTTTGTTTTGGTTTTTTGTTTTTTGTTTTTCAAAACTCTGCTTCAGCAAGATGTGAAAAAAAGAAGAGGCTATGGAAGCTTATCTAATTCCAGATACGATGATGGAAGAGGGCCACCTGGAAACTCTCCATGAAGAATGGGTCGAATCAGTCATCTTCAAGGCTTCAGCCTTCCTCCAATGGCTGGTGGGTGAGAAAGGTAAATGTCTGCTCTAAGAAGCAGACAACTAGACATACACATGTGTAGAAGGAAGCCATCAAGAGGTGAAGAGCAACTCACCGTAGGACAAGATGGTGTATGTCTAAACAAGGACTCTTCTGTGTCCTCACAGATGAATGAGGTCATGTTGGGAATTCCCTCTACAGAATCTGGCATGACTGAAAAGCAGTTCTATAAATGTACATGTTTGTCTCCTTATCTTTTTTGTACAGTTTGCTAAAGTATTAATATAGTTTTAGTAAGTGAGTATTTTTAGGTTGCTAAACTTGATTCTTCATCTTTATATGATTAAACCCAAAAAAATCCCTGATCTGGAAGAAATAAAGCCTATGTATTAAAAAAAGTCAACATTGTTATTTAAGATAAAGCAATGGCCTTTTCTTCTCAACTTTTATCTCATTTAAAACAAGATTTTCAAAAATACAATTATTAGTGTACTATTTTTTGTGTATAGTGTATATATATGGTAATATATTTAACAGTTGTGACATTTTAAACCATGAATGTTAATGTAAATGATATGTATGTCGGAACGACCCTGAGATGATAAACAACTGTTAGATTTTTTTATAGATCTGAGAGTGGAGGTGTTTGTGAATGTACATGTGGAGGTTATCAATTAGCCATTCCTCAATGTCATTCCTCAATAGCTATCCACCCTGTTTAAGACAATGTCATTCTCCTTGGTAGGCCTGGAGCTCACCTATTAGTCTGGGCCAGCAGAGGCCACACACCTGTCTGTGTCCCCTACAACTCCACATTGGTGGGATTACATGCACCTGGCACCATGCCTGGGTTTTTAAATGGGCACTTGGAATCAAATTCTAGTCTTCATGCTTGTGATGCAAGCACTTCACCTATTGAGGCATCACTCCAGTGCTCAAGATTATTTTTATTTAATTCACATTAAGCTAATTTTGCCATATCTTACATTTGAAAAAATGAATTTGTTCATTTTAAATGTATTTTTAATAAATGAATCACAGCCTCTCATTGGCTAGTATGCCTACTATTTTGTTTTATTATATTTCATGTCAAATATCCCAAACACTTTTCTTTTTATCCTGTCTGTACTGTAAGAAGACTTTTCTTCCTATAACTATATATTTGTGTAAGATATCAATGCATTTTACATGCAAAATTATTGTTAACTATGAATTTTTCAAGTAACAAGTGGTACATTTAAAGAAGAAACACTGAACATATATTTTTTGTTAATGTAAGAGAAACAACCATTTTGTTAATGTGCAGACAGTACACTCACTATCCAAATAACTGTGTAGAGCTCAGAAACTGGCATACTCAATTCAACTGTACATTTTAACAGTTAATGTTGAAAATCATGTGTTTGGTATGAAGTACCTATATGGTGAAATGATTTAAACAATCCTATAATCCTACACTTTTACCCAGCAACACCAACCTCACTTAGACAGTTTTGCATTAGTTTTCATTTCATGTCTCCAAGAGAGTCTTGGAAGCCAGTATGAATCCTGATGAAGAGCAAATAACACATGACACCTCTGAATTCATGTATTTTTGTTTCTTCAATTGGTTAATTAGTGAATGTGTGTGTGTGTGTGTGTGTGTGTGTGTGTGAGTGAGTGTCTGTGTGCGCACGCGCACGCGCATGCGTTTTTAAGCATGGGGTACATGTAAATAATAGGTACAGCTTTGTGAAATCAGTTCTTTCTTCCCACCATTATGAGCAGTTTGGATATCCAATTCATCTCCCCAGACTTGCATTGCAAGTGCCTTTATCCACTGAATCATTCTCTGGCCCACTTATTTTCTTTTGATCAAAGGGGGAGAATTTTCAAAGTGATCATTTCTAATTTTAAACTGCTAAAACCTTGCATTAACAGTCAATTTATCTATTAAGCACCTGAAGGCATTCTACTACATAAACTTATCTGAGGCTAGAAAAAGAAATAGATGTGTGTGCAAGTTGTTTTTAGATATTATTTAGATATTTTATAAATCAAATTATATTTGTTTTATACTTCATACTGTAGTGGACAAGTCATCTCACTGAGATACTGGGATCTGAGAAAGTTTCTTGACATTACAATACATTTTTTAGATGGTATATAGGCAGTGAAGAGATGATCCAAAGATTAGATTTCCCCACAAATCACTCATCAAGCTCCTGGATCTTGTTTTGAAGATTGTTTGATGCATCAACATGTCATAAACCAAGCAGTTCCAAGAATACAGGACCAACTGTTACATTGTATTCAGACAATGCTCCATCACTTGTGGGTTGATAGTAGGGGACACATAAGATGATCCTATAACTGGCCTAACCTTCCATAATCTTCTCACTTTCCAACCACATTTAATATACTCTCTTTTCTCTTGGCAGTATTTGCCCCAGCCTCATTCATCTTCCTCAAATCTGTGAATGACATTTGGAAGTCTTTCTTGTAAAACCCCAGTCCTACATACATACATACATTCACACACACATACACACACACACACACACACACACACACACACACACACACACACACACCAAATAAAAATCAAAAACTGATTCTGAATGTAGAAGAACAAGTAAGATAAAAGTCTTAATTTTTCTGAAAGGTAGAAATTATATTTAAATTCTTATAATAGTTAATCAACAAAAAAAGAAAACCACATATACTATATACTCTTTTATAAAATAATGCAGTTTATGATGGAAATTTCCCTATGGAAATCTTATCTCCATGCAATTGTTCTCATTTTGTCTTCATTTACAGTCAGACCATCACAGTTCTGTTATCAGTTCATTTCTATTAGCTTTAAATATTACTCACAAAAGTAATAATCACCTAGCACCGCTTGTGTGCAAGAGATGTTGCTGAATAGTTGCTAAAATGTTTCACTAATGAGTATGTTTGATTTTTTTTTGTTGAAGCCAATACATTTCCTTAATGTGTATATATACATAAGTGGGTGTGTTTATGATTATACCAGGTATAAAGAAATTTACATTGGGTTGGATTTTTTAGCCCTAACACAGTATGTAAATGTCATCACCCAGTGTGGTTTCTTAGACATTAACTTTACTTGTCTTAAAACAACATAGTATTTTGTAACATAGTTGAACAGTAATCTTCATGCAGATGTTTTCATAAATTCAAAATTTTACCATTTAAATAGTACAGCAATAAATATCTTTTGAAAATACATGGCTTAGAATTCAATGACTCTAGGATGGAGTCACAGCTATGAAATCATAAAATAAGTAGATAAAAAATAAATATATCTTTTAATTTCTTAGTCACTTCTATTTGTTGCCTCAAAACATGGCTCTAATTTTATACCAAGAAACATAGTGATATTCTTATCTTTCTCTCTCTGACATTAGAACATTAATTTGTTTAAATCTAGTATATTAAAGTTGTAAATATATTTTACTTAATCACTAGTAAAATGCAATGTTTCTGTATTTTATTATTTGTATTACTTTTCATTTGAGTTGTTCTTTTCCTAAATTTGTTGAAATGAGTGTATATAGGGGGCATAGAATGGGATTGATGACTGAACCCAAGGTCTCAGACAAGGTTAGTTGGTACTCCATCCATATGCCACATTCTAATACATCTTTGCCTAAGTTTTGGAGAAACCTGTTTTATAATGTTATCTCTACTTTATGTTTTAGGTAAATATGATATCCCTTTCCCATTTTATAACAGGATAAACTGGGATGTAAAGAAATGATGTCATTTTCCAAGGGTCAGGTAATATAACTTTCACAAGTACTCTGCTTGACTCTGAAGCTCTTAACAGCAACTGCATTATTTTTGCAGCATCCTTTGGGGTATTAACTGTCTTTACATAAAATCTATTTCCTCCAAGTTCTGTTTAAGAAGAAATTATGTTAAAAGTGTAGACATTTCTTTGTATATAACTATTCATTTCATTTTCCTTATGAATAATATGCTTATTTCTATAGGAAACTGAAGCAAAACATAATTTTTTCATTAAAATTTAACTATTCAGGTAATGATCAAAACTCAGTGAACAATTCACAAACTACATGCATAAACCATAAATGTTTATTTTTCTCCTTTTACTGGTGAAAAGTTGCCATGGAAATGAGAATCTTCCTTGAATATTGTGTGTACATTAAAAGATAATCCTTATCTTTTTTCTTATTCTTCAGGTACATGTTACAGAGACAAATTTGTACATATTATCTGTAGAAAACTGGAAGTGTGTTAACTTGAAGAAATGACACATTTTAGTTACAGGTTTCCTGTATTTATTTCAACCAAACTTATGTTGATCAAGGAGTGAAAGATTTTGGTTGCTACTCAACATCCTCTTTATCAGACATCACTTGATTGATAAGAATGGAGATCAGTATCTTCCACTTTAGTGTGGATTTCCTTTCATCTTTTGGTTCTATGAAGCAATAGCTAATTTAAAGTTTAATATCTTCCTTTTGTTCCCACACACAGCAGATGGCCCTGACAAAACCACCTCCTACTACCTAATTCCTTTGTGACATTAATTATTCATCAGAAAGGAAGTTAGAAAATAGTATCTTTCAAATTCCTGGCTCACTTAATTGAATAGATTAAAGAAAATATCCTGTGGTTAGAAAAAATATATTAAAACACAAGAAATCATTAAAAAGTAAAACCAAGTGGCCACCCATTGAGGATACTTCTAACAGTTGGATGGATTCAAAAGAAAATATAATGAATACAAAATACATGAGGACATCCTTTGCTTTAGGGCTCAGTTTCCACAGATGTTTACCCTTGGGCTCTAGAAGGATGGCCTAAGAAAGAAACTAAGAAATTACCCTTTATGTTTTGTTTTGTTTTCCTATCTGTACATGATTCTAAATCCTTTATGTATCTAATTGTCCTAGTTGTCTGAGAGAATAATTCAGTACTGAGTTCTTTCGAACTTTCAATTTCAGTGGTGTGTGTGTGTTTGTGTGTGTGTGTGTTTGTGTGTGTGTGTGAGAGAGAAAGAGAGGGGGTAATTCTTGTGAATATACACATATGTATGCATGTGTGCATGTGTGACAGTCAATGTCAATGCTCTCAATTACTAGCTCTCCATCTTATGTTTTCAGGCAGGGTCTCCCACTGAATGTGCAGTTCATCAGTTATGCCAGACTGCCTGACTAGAAACCTTCTAGGATGGAACTGTCTCCACTCCTTGCATCCTCCAACTCTGGGGTCATAAATATGCACTGGTGTGTCTAGTTATAATGTGGGTGTCAAGGATCCAAACTCTTCATGTTTATTCATGTTTTTATTCACAGATCCAGTCATCTCTCAAACTCTAAATTGTATTGTTGTTTTTGGTTTTTTTTTCTATGTTTATGGGAAGGTAGGTGGGTTTGTGACAATATCATCTTTATTGTTGTCCATCTTAACTTCAGGTCCAGTTGAAAATGGCCTGAAAAGTTTGTCTACCTCATATTGATAAAAAAGGACTAATTAAGTATTGAAAGAATCCTACTTAAATTTAAGTTTTCAGTTCAAACCTGCTTAAGAAAATTCCATCCTATAGCCCAAGTGTTAAATAAAATAGAAATTACTATGTATTGTACAAAAATAAATATAGGACTCCACATTCTCCTAATTCTTTTACTGACAACCATTGTTTTAAATGCAAACAAATAAACTCTCAAAATAATTGTTAAGATGAGTCCCTTTCTTTTTTTTTTTTTTAGTATAAGAAAACAAAATTTCTGGGCAGAGTGGTGCATGCCTTTAGTCCCAGGACTCAAGAGGAAGAGGTAGACATATCTCTGTGTTCTAGACCAAGTGTGTTCCAGGACAGCTGGGACTGTTACACAGAGAAACGCTGTCTTGAAAAACCAAAACAAACAAACAAACAAAAAACTAAATTAACAAAGTAAAATACACACAGACAAACAAACAATAACCAAATAAAAGCACATAAAGAAACTATAGACTCTATTATACATTGGCCAACTACTTCTGAACATGAGTCCTTTTCTGGAGTGGTGGATGTAAGTATTCAGGCATTTTTACTGGCCTGTCCTTGGGTTCTGGCAGGATATTCCCTCAGCTGCAGCCACTAAGAGCACCACCTGTGCATATTTGATATGTTTCCTTTTAAAAGGTCCCTGCCCACCTCCCATCCCCCCCTTTATTTCTCTCCCTGTCTGTGTCTGTTCCTCTCTCCTTTCCTAGCTCTCTTTCCTCTTCTCTTCTCTCTCCCCATCTTTCCTCTCTCCTCTCTTCTGCTGCTCCTGTCTCCAGAGGCTAGCACCACTGCTTTCCCATTTTTAATGATCCCTTTCCCTAAAAAGAAACCCCTCTTCTTGAACCCTGTTGCATGGTGTCTTTGTCTTGAGTGCTACTTTTCTTAAATTACAACACTTGATATACCCAGTATTACACCATTGGAGACAACTGACTTGCCCTTTCCCCACAGGTATAAATGACAGCTCAGTTGTTAACCTTGACCTTAGTGACTAGCTTTACATTTATTCATTTAAAAAATAAAACAAAATAAGATACGATACAAAACTATCATATTGAAGTTGCTCAAAATAAACCATCAGAAGTAAAATAGTCCAAGACAAGGTATAAGAATCAGACCCACTAATTCACATACTCAGGAATCCAATTAAAACACTAAACTGGAATTCTTAATATATAAGTGAAGGACCTGGTGCAGACCCATGCAGGCCCTGTATATGTGGCTGCATTCTCTGTGAGTTCATATGTCATTGGACCTGTATTATTTAATTTAACCTAGATCCCTGTTGTATCTAATTTCAGGTTCTTGATAACCCAAGCAATGTTAAGTATTGGTTCCATCCCAGAGAGTGTGCATTAAGTCAAATAAGTTATTGGTTGGTTACTCCCACAGGCTTTGTACCATGACTGTATAAATGTACCACACATTCTATATCCATTTGTAATGATAACTCTGCCATCCACCTGAGTTCTGCCACCACATTAGGGCCCCCAAATAACAAACAGAGATTAATATTAGGGACAATGCTGTTGGACAATGACTAGGATTTCTTATTTGCTAGCTCTGTCTTAAGTATCAACCATAACCATTCATCTATATATTTTATAAAGACATCTTATCGAAGATGCCAGTGGCATGCATCCTCTCTTCATGGGATCACATAGTGACTCCTATCTTTCCTACATTTCCCAGAATCCTCCTTCTCCCCTAGTCCCACCTAACTTGCTTCCCTATTGGCCAACAGTGCTTTATTTATCAACCAATAAGAAAAACATATGCACAGGACTTCCCTCATCATTGATTCTTTTGTTAGGACATCTAGTTTTTTACAATTTCTGGCTATTATGAATAGAACAGCAATAAACATGGCTGAGCAATGTTTTTGTGGTAAAATGAAACATTGAAGATGAAGAGTAGTATAGAGTTACCTTTAGGTGGATGGGTTTCCGTCTTCCTGCAGGACTACCCATACTGATTTCAATAGTGTCTTTATGAGTTTGCACTCCTACCATCAATGGATGAGTTTTCTTCATATTGTAGATCCTCACCAGCATGAGCTGTAAGTTGCTTTGTTGTTCTTAGTCATTCTGACAGGTATAAGATAAAATATGAAAGTAGTTTTGATTTGCATTTCCCTAATCACTAAGGATGTTGAACATTTCCTTAAGTGTTTCTTGGCCATTTGAATTTCTTCTATTGAGAATTCTCTGTTTAGTTCTGTTACCATTTTTTAACTAGATTATTTGTTTCCTTTCTACCTAGTTTCTTGAGTTCTTTATATATTTTGGATATTAAGATTCTATCAGATGTGCAGTTGCTAAAAACATTTCCCATTCTGTAGGCTGTAACTGTTTCTGAATGACAGTGTCCTCTGCTATGCAGAAGCATCTCAGTTTCATAAAGAGTCTTTTATTAATAATTAATTTTAGTGCCTTGCTAATGGTGTTCTAACCAGAAAATCTTTTCCTATGCCAATGTGTTCAAAGATATTTCCCACTTTCTCTTCTATCAGCTTCAGTGTATCTGGCTTTATGTTGAAGTCTTTGATCCATTTGGAGTTACCTTTTCTGCAGGGTGATAAATATGGATCTATTTGCATTCTTCTAAGTGCAGTCATCCAGTTCACCACACTGTTGAAGATGCTATAGTTTTCCAACGTTTATTTCTGGCTTCTTTTGCAAAAATCATGTGCCCATAAGTGTGTGGATTTATGTCTGGGTCTTTTAATTCAATTCTATTGATCAACATATCTATTTTTGTGTAAACACCTTGCTGTTTTTATTATAATAGCTGTGTTGTAAAACTTAAAACTGGGCATAGCGATACCTACAGCAATTCTTTTAATATTCACGATTGTTTTAGCTGTCTTGAGTTTTTTTTTAATATGAAGCTAAAATTGTCCTTTCAAGATCTGTGAATAACTGTGCTTTAATTTTGATGTGGATTACATTGATCTGTAGATTGCTTTTGATAGGATGTCCAGTTGTACTATGTTAGCTTTGCTGAGGTTTCTATTTGGGTGTTTGTTGTTTTTTCGTAAATTGAATGATTTTTATATCTGCTTAGCATGTATTGTGATCTTGATTTGCTTTTCCACATTGTCTACCTTCCCCTGGAGATAAGCAACTCATGTTTTCTTACAGATTTATAGAGACACAGGCAAGCTCTAGGTGCATCTAATCTACAATTTTCCTTCTGTGCAACTTTGTCTTAGTCTCTAGGCACATTAATTCTTAAAATGTTTAATAAAGCAAATGATAATTTCATAGTTTTAATTTTTGATTATTAAGACAATATCTGACTTGATTGGAAGGTCATCATTTACATTAATATAATTATGCATTAAATTTTACATTCAGTGCTTTACAATTTGCTTTCTTTTTGTCCTTTCTACTCTGACATTATTTAGCTCTTTACTGATTCATTAGATGGGTTGTTCTATATGTGTAATGATCACATTATATTTCCATTTTTAGATCATTGATATGATTCAGTTGGGTTTGTTAACATCGGACTTAGCTTTCAGAGTTTACCTGTAGATGAAATACATGTTTGGATTTCAGAAAACCTCACTGTGCTATTTCTATTTTCCCAGAACTTTTGTAATATTGAGTTTATACATGTTACTTTATACCAAACACACATATTTAACATGATTAGCACCATTTATTTCTCTCTAGATACAAATTGCTACACAGCTTCATTTTCTAACTTTCTAAGGACCCTTTTAACCATTCCTCAGTTCGTAGTCTGCTAGCAGTGGGCTCTCTCAGTTTATTTGCTGAATTTTAAGTACTCATGTCTTGATTACTTTTATATTGATAGATATTGTTACAATACAGGAAATTATAGTCATGTGCATATAGGCATATAAATATATAAGAATATATAAATATTTAAATAAATATATTCATGTCTATTTAAAGTGCTGTTTCATTTTATACTCTCTCAAATATTTTATTACCAGATCTCACTAGCCTAAGTTTATTCTTCCGTGCATAACCTACCAGTTTGTACTCTTTCTACTTATAAGAATATATGGTATTAATTTCTTTTTTCCTGCAGTTCCTTTACTCAGTTCATTGGCATTTAAATGTTTCTTCTTCCTGCTTCCTTTCCATACCTGTTGTTGATTACATTTTATACTTGTATCATGGATATATCTGAAGCTAGAATTAGCATGCCTCTTTCTGTCTCCTTTTGTTTCTTATATTTTGGATAGTTTATGTTGCTATGACTTTAGGGTAATTGGATTGGTTCACTGCACAGGACCCACTTATCATTACTCCAGTATGTGTTTGGTTTTGGATGCTTTCTTTTCCTCCCTAGAATTTCTCCTTGAGAATCATTTATATTCTCTTAATGATGGTCATATTTCCTTCTCGTTGGGGGAGCACATGCAGATATCATAATGTCCATATCTTCTCATCCCATCACTTATTTCAGTTCTTGACTTATTGTCATACCTCAATTATTTACATGCTGTCTTATTTTTATTTATTCCATGTGTCTTTTGTGTCATATACCTTGATCTTATTCATTTCCCCATCCCTTCACATCCACCCTCCACCCCTGACAACCCCTTTACCCACAAATAAAACAAAATTTAAGAGAAAAGGGGGAAAAGGGAGGGGATTAAAAATCTCATCATAGGAACTGATGTGTGACACAATGAGTCATGCAGTAAACACTTTTGTCCATATATCTTTACTTGAAAAAGTTCATTGCAATAAATCATTGGTCTGTTTTGAAGTCTCTGATTTCTACTACACTACTAATGGTGGGCCTTTCCTAGGACTTTTCTGTATATTCTGTTGTTGTCCTGTGTTGTGGAGATACTGGAGCTGTGGGTCTGTGGAACCCTTCACATGTTCCAGCAGATAATAGACGGGGTGGATGTAGGGGAGGGCATTGTCATAACCCTGATTCTGGGCCTGGGCAGCTGCAGGGTTGGTCCCCCAGCCAATTATCCCCTGTCCTCACCTCCAGAGTGACCTCTTCAACATTGCCCCTGGATAATTCACCTCATGCAGCAATGAAGAAGGGATGGAGTCGTGTCTCCTTTTTTGTCCCGCAGTTCTCCCACACCTACACCATTAGGGCCAGCTCTATTGTGTTGCCCTGGGGAGATACAGGGGTCACTCTATGGACTGCTGCACCTGGTAAAGGACAGGGACAGGCCTCCCCCTGGCATG